CGGGTTTCATTGTTTATCATTAGTTCACAGGAAAAACAAATTTATCTGTCAAATGATAAGATGAACACATCCTCATGGCCAAATATAAAATATTGTCCTTCTTGGATGTCTACTTTGAAAATATGAAAGCAATATAAGCTCTTGGTAAAGAACTTCAAATGACACCAAGGAAAATAAACATAAAACACTCAAACCTGCAATCACAACCCTGCTCCATCTAACTGTTTTTACCCATTGGAGACATCCTATCCATCTTCATACATGTTTATCAGATTAGTATCCACAGTAATATGCGAACTGTCCAACATTATCAAGACAGACTCCTGCTTTCTTCTTTCTGTTGTATGGAAACACTTAGGAAGAACAAGAGCACTGAACTGCAAGAATAGTAGAAGAAATACCACTGAGGGCTGGAGTGTAGTTTAGCAGTAGAGGCCTTGCCTAGTAGCTACATCTATTCCAGCATCATTAAAAAAAAAGGTCTGTTAAACTTGAGATAAAAATATACCATGTTCTAATTCCTGTTACTTTCTGCCTTTGAGGTGTTGAGAAAACCACAACCAGGGCACTCTCATCTCCTCATATTTTGTTATCCACTCACCTTCAGTGAGTTTTGGTTTTGTGATTAGAACTAGAGAGAGAAATGCTGCTGAATGACAGGCAAGTATCTGGAGTACAGCTGACTTTGACAGGCTGGGGGATACCTGGGGTGAATCTTGAAGGGCTTTGCAAGCTTTGGCTGCGGTCCAGTGGGAGACGAAATAGGAGGGGATAATGTTAGTGCATCCCTCTAAGTAACCATATGAGACATACTGCTTGGGTGCCATGGATGCTCTAGAAATCATCAGGAAGCATGCTTATGGGAGAGGGATATCTAGCAAGCAGCTAGCAGAAGTTTCCAAACCCATACGGTTTTGGGGAAGTGGAACTTTTCTTCACTATAAATAACTTACTGGTTTATGTCATTCAAAGTTGTGTGAGGTTTACATTGTCACCAGGGTATAGGTCTAATTTTTTTCTTTCATTTCATTCCACAGTCCCTACTATAGTATATGGCTCTAAGTGGGTACTTACCAAATGTTGGTTGAGTGGACCAATTATTCCCTACACATCATTTTTAGGGTAGTAATTTTTAATGGTCATTTTTATTGTCTCTTGTGGTGGTTTAATGAAATTGGCTCCCATATTTCAGTACTTTGTCTCCAGGTTGGTGAAACTGTTTGGGAAAGAGTAGGTGTGGCCATGTTGCAGGAGGTCTGTCACACTGGGGGTGGCCTTTGATGTTTCAAAAGCCCACATCATTCCATTAGGTCTCTCTGCTTGTGCTTGTGAAGTCAAAATATAAGCTTTCTGCTATTGCTTCAATGCCATGCAGGCATTGCTGCCATGTTCCCCATGATGGCTATGGAATCACCCTCAGAAATTATAATGCCTAATAAACTCCTTCTTCTATAAGTTGCCATGGTCATGGTGTCTTTTCACAGCAACAGAAAAGTAACTAAGCCATGAATACACATGATGCTTGGATATCATTTTTATTATGCCCTAGAACATACATCTGCTGCTCAGATATTGAATGTCTTTAGAAGAACATGTGCTGAAGACCTAGTTCCCCATTATTGGGAGGCACAGGACTGTTACAGCTGCCTCGTTTGGATGTCTTTAGGTTGCCGAGAGTGTGTTCTTGAAGGGAGCTGTGGACTTGAATGCCAGTGTGAGAGTCAGGCGCTAAAGAGACCTGGGGAATAGTGAACATGCTTCTGTTTGCCTGGAATAGTTTTGGTCTATACCTCTTGTCCATTGACAGCTATCAAGGTCCTCCAATTATCAAAGGAACTGGGGAGATGGATTAGTAGTTAAGAGGATGTACTGCTCTTACAGAGGACTGCAGTTTGGTTCCCAGTAACCATGTCAGGGAACTCACAACTGCATATAACTCCAGACTTGGGGGACTGAGCACAATCTTCTGGACTGTGCACATCTTTGCTAACAGTTGACACACAATGCATACACACACACACACACACACACACACACACACACACACACACACACACACACAAATACTTAAAAACTAAAAATACATCTTTTAATTGTCTTGGTCATAACGGAAGTGATAGAGCAACCTGATGAGACAGAATCTTGCTATATAGCCCAGGCTAGACTTAAACTGAAGATTCTCTGCTAGCATTACAGCCATGCTTCACCATTCCTGACTCTTCAGTTCTTTCATAAGAAAAGCATCTATTTTATTATGTACATTAAGTGAAATGTCTAATAAACTAAGAATTAATATTCCCATAACTCAGCTATAGATATGAATTACTGCTTCTTGACCTACCTGCCTTCTAGTTACCTCTGGACAAACCTTAGGCACATCAGTACTTTCATGATTGCACTGACATCTGGTGGCCATTCTCATGTTTTTCTCCGGGCACACCTGTACCAAACAATCTATCAGTCTGTGCTTCACACTCCATCAATTTTTATCTGAGTCCCACAGTAACAGCCTTACAGGCTCATCACTTTCTTTTCTTGAGAGGTAATCATATTAGATTCAGGAATGGTGGCAGCATTGTGCTGGATCCTCTCCTTAATGCTATGTGGAAGCCTGTCTCATAAAACACACAAAAAATAGTGAGACTTCAGGTTCTTAAAAATATTTTGTGTGTGCATACAGATGCACATATCGCAGCACCACACTGTGTAGGTTAAGACAACCTGTCAGAACCAATTCTTTCCACCATGTGAGTCCTAAAGGATTGGACCCACTATGTGAGTCTTCAAGGTTGGTGACAGATGCCTTTATTAACTGAGTCTTTTCACCAGCCCAGGATTTCAGGTTTATAAGGCTTATTTTGATACAGAGAAGTCCTTCCTGAAATGCCCCAAGTAAAGACAAGGGTAATAAATAATGTTCTTGATAGCAACAAAATGTCAACACCAGTATAGATGTGTTCAAATATCAAAATAGGGAAAGTTTTTGAAACATAGTTTTAATGTTTTACTTGTGTGTATGTATCACATTAGTGCAGTGTGGTGGTTTGAAGAATGGCCCCATAGGTTCATATATTTGAATGGTCACCAGGGATTAGAACTATTTGAAAGGATTGGGAAGGAGGTGTGGCCTTGTTGGAGGAAGTGTGTCACTGAGGTTGAGCTCTGAGGTTTCAGAAGCCCAAGCCAGGCCCAGTGACTCTCTCTTCTTTCTGCTGCCTGTGGATCTGGATGTAGAACTCTCAGCTCCTTCTCCAGCACCACGTCTGCCTGTGTGCTGCCATGCTCCCCACCAAGATGGTAATGGACTAAACCTCTGAAAATATAAGCAAGCTCCTATCAAACACTTTCTTTTATAAGCATTGGCATGGCCATGGTGGCTCTTCAGAACAATAGAACACTGACTAAGACAGTGCATGTATCTGCAGTGGCCAGAGAGCATCAGGATTCCCTGACAATGGAGTGACAGGAGGTTGTGAGCCACTGACCCTGGTGGTGTGAATCAAATTTATGTCTTTTTCAAGAGCAATGAGCGTTCTTAACCACTGAGAGACTCTTAGAATAAAACTTGGATCAATGTAAACTAGCTTACAGGTAATAATCTGGCTGAAAGAGGGAAGGGGTAGGGAGGAGTTAGCTGCAGGAAAAAGAGAAAGAAAAACTATAGTTCAAAGTGTGGCCTTCATTTATTTTGTAGGATTCATAGATGTGTGGCAATAACTGTTGCATAGCTATAATCACTTTTCCATTCCCTGTCCCTCGTTAATTTACATGACCACTCTGGAAGGTTTCCTCACCAAAGGCATTTCACTGTCAACATACCACAAACAGGCTACTGAGAGAGGGGGTTGGTGTTCATGGGAGAACATTGTTCAACACTAAAAATACTATTTTTAAACTTGTGTGAGCACTGGTGCTCAGGGAGATCAGAGGTATTGGCACTCCCTGGGGCTAGAGTTACAGGTGGTTGTGAGCTGCCTGATGTGGGTGCTGAGAAAAGAATCAGAATCAAGTCCAGGTCCTTTGTAACAGCAGCCCATGCTCTTAAATGCTGAGCTACCTTTCCAACCCCGAAGGGCCATTTTAATCACCCATCCTACTCCTCAATTGTGGGCCATAAGTCTGATGAAGTTTACCATCCTACATGATTAAGAACTCCTGAGAGAAAAATGCAGCTCCAAACTTATTCTCGTGTCATCAGGAAAGGATTACCAACACACAAGACAGTAGCATGTACTCAGCCAGAATAAATGGGGTGTCCAGGCATCTTCAGTGCTCCTCATTTGTCTCCTTATGTTAAAAACCAGGGGCTGGAGACATGACTCAGCAGTTAAGAGAACTGACGGCTTTTCCAGAGGACCCAGGTTCAATTCCCAAAATCCAAACAGCAACTCACAACTGTCTGTAACTTCAAGATCTGGCAGGCTCATACAGACATACACATAGATAAAAACAATGTACATAAAGTAAAAACAAACAAATTATATTTAAAAAAATCAGTACTGAGGCTGGGGAATACAGATTAATATTAGAAATTTTGCTAAGAGTATTCAAGGTCTTAGATTCCATTCCCAGAACTGGGAATGGGGGAAGCACTAAATCTGCAAGTGTAATAATTAGTATTTCACAAACATTTTTAAAGAAGTGAGCCTGATAGTAGTGGTTTTAAGTTGCTTTAAAATTTTTAACTCATTTTATGAATGTTTTGCCTACACGTATATATGGGCACTGTGTATACACTCAGTGTTTGTTAAAGCCAGAAGAGATCATCAGGTCCCCTGGAACTGGAGTTACAGATGGTTGTGAGCCACCATGTGGGTGCTGGGAATTGAACCTGGGTCTGCTACAAGAGCGACAAGTGCTCCAAACCACTGAGTCATCTCTCCAGCCCCACAGCTGCTTTTTAAATCATTCCACAAAACCCACACCTTGTCCTCATGTTTTCTTTTATGATAAAAAAACACAACACTCAAAAGTTCAGGATCTTCAAAAACATACTAGAATCAAGTTGAATAAGGCTGTGCTTTATTACATGCATAATTACAAATCTGTGCTAAGTGAAAATGTATAAAGCAATGGCAACCTAGGTTTAAGCCACACAGAGAAAGGGCTGGACAATCCCATTAACCTTTCTGCTAATGTCCATTCCATTGCCTTGAACATGATTGTTTCCATTTCTTACAATTTGCATAGCACTTATTTGTCAAAGTGCTTTCCATTCATTGTCTCAGTTTATCCTCACAACAACCCTGTGAGATAGGTAGGGCAATTTACACTATCCCCATTTTGCAGATGGGAACACTGAGGCACAGAGCGGTTAAGATCTTGAGGCTAGTTAGTAGAAGCATAGGGAATACAAACCAGGTCACCTAACTCCCCAATCCATGTTTTCCTTTTTACACCATGTCACTATACATGACCAGGGAGCAGAACAAAGTGAGCGCTAAGCCACAGCTTTGGATCAGGCTGTATCTATAAGCAGGTGAGGCTAAAGCTACAAAAGCATGGCTGAAGGGTTGGCAACACTCTGTAAATGACTGTTCTGAACAGCTCTGCTCCAAGCTTCCTGTGGACACTTGGGCTTTATTAGCTTTGGTTGAAGCTCCTCTCTGGATGCCAAGCTACTACAGATATCTATGCATTAGCTTCAGCCGAACTTTGACCAAATCTTAGGAATTAAAATGTCCAGTCAGACAGATTTTCTTTGGCTACTGCAACTGAAGCCAGCCCTACTAATGAGCTCCCTACAGAGATATTCCCATGGTGCCCACGGGCTGGATCCTGCCCTTCTGGTCCTCCTGGCTTCAATGGCTCACCCAATAGCTGGTATATTTCCCATGGCCAGAAATGAATGGGCAGAGGTATAAACAGGAGGCTGGGCTTGGTCAAATAAAGAAGAGTCATCATCATGACATTATAGTCACCCTTTGGTGACATGACCAAGATGCTATCAGGCCCAATTCCTTTCTGGCCTGTACCTGGATAGCAGCATAGCTTCAAAAGACAATTTTTAGAGAATAAAATATTAAACATATAATTTTATCTTGAATGGAATACAATTTAATCATCACACAGTCCCAAAGGACCAAATATATAGTAAAAAAAAGTAAATACTTATATAAAAAGCTGAGTACTAAAAAGGCAGGACAATGGAGAAGAAAGTAAAGTGAAAGGCAAGAAAGTGAATGGAGGGGAAAGAATCATATTTTGAGGTACCCTCTACTCAACAGCAAGGCTGAACATTCCCACTTTGATTCAAAAAACCCATCACAAGTCCTGCCTTCTTCCCCATTTCACTAAATGACATTTTTTTCTCATTAAATCCTAAACTACCCCCAAATTCCAGCACATTTGGACTAATATATAATACAGCTAAAGCCCTCAACACTCCCAGTAAGTATTGCTGGCTTTGGCCCCTACTGTGGAGTGAGCAAACTGCCAATGACCTCATCAACTGAGGAGTTCCCATTCTCCGTTCTCAGGGTCAACTTCTCCCTACCCACCAAAGTCCATATTCAAACAACAAGCTCACAAAAATGGGGAGATTTGAATTTAGGATACAAATGGTAGGGGGAGCAAAAGAAACGAGGCAGAGACAGATTGTGTTTTTGCCTTATATGTACCATCAGTTTCTCCTCAAAAGGCCAAACACTAGTCAGGCCATCCATTTGACAAGTGTGTACAGGCAGACCAAAGACCCTTTGGTAGCAACTTAGAGGTAGGAATTTTTGACTGGAAAGTTGGGCTGGGAGGCCTCATAGGCCCCATGCAAAAAAAGAGAGAGAGAGAAAAGAAATAAGGAAGAAAGGAAGGAAAGAAGGAAGGAAAAGTCCACATCATATCCTTCTTGGAGGATTTGACAAAATCATATTAACATCATGGGAAAATTCATTTTGTTCCCTTCATCTCTTTATAACTTTGCCCAGATGCAGATGCTTAGAAATGAGAATGTGGCCAGCATATATACAGGGAGTAGCTTAAAGTTGCTAATACACATTTTTCCAAGAACCTCTCTCCTTGGAACAAATGGCTGAAACTGAAGCAAAGCCCAGCAATTTCTTAGCTGTGCTGTGCCCACTCATCTCCAAATTTACACAGCTTCTGATCTGCAATGGGAGAAGACACCTTATTTTCAATATAGAACAAGGACATAGTAGGGAGGCTTAAAACAAAATGGTAGAAGGTTTATCATCTAGACACTCAGATAGTACCTTCCTCTGTAAGTACATATCGTATGCTGACCCTGTCCACAAAACTAGACTGTCCTGAAGCCAAATGGTGCTTTGAGGCTCTAGTTTGGGAATCCTGGGCTTGTAGATGACTTGCCTTTTTCTCCCTTTGGGGCACATAATTAAGCTTTTCTGCCCACCTTATACCAAAAAGCATGGACTAGGACACGGGACGGCTTTCTTCATACCACCTGGCATCAGGCACATTTTGTTAACAGGTCTGTCATCATTTTTGGTGCCTCCCCCTCTCCATAAAGGGAAACCAGATAATCCCAGAGGTGGTTGCAAAGATGAACATTTTAGAACAGTGAAGTCGAGCCCACACATTCAGAGACTGATCTTTTTAGAAAGGCCCCTGCTTTTCCTGTAGAGAGTTCAGATTGAGACTCGAGTGCCAAAACAATTGGCCTGCTTTGCAGTTAAACAAGCAAATTAATCGTTTGCTCGGCCAGCTGGCCAATTCAAAGTATCATCAATTCCAACTAATCCACCAGAAGTGCTCTGTTCTGAGAACTACATCAGCTCTACTCTGCAGCTGGGCTACGCCAGGACACTGGGGCCAGAGAGAGGAGGGTGCTGCAAAGCAATGTGGTTGTTTCTAACCAGATGTAAGTAGACATGATCTTTAACAGCTATTATTTCCCGTTGCCAGTCCCCGTTTGCTATCTCTAATTGAGCTCACTATGCAGTCTCTCCAAACTATGTTAAGTTCTTTCCATTGAAGTTGTGAAGATATAAAATTTAGACTTTTACAGATCCATCAACTCCCTTCATGGCTAAATTTCCTCCAGATATATTTCCTTGGAAAATTCTCTTGAGGCATTTATTGGTGTTCTTCTGTAAATGCTTTCCTTATATCAGGCTATTTTCTTTTCCAGTACCAAAATAAACTTGTCTCAATTCATTTAAAAATCTTAAATTATCCAGTATTTTACCATTGAGGTATGTAGTCATTTGAGGCTATGACAGACTTCCCTATATTGGCTTTGATTTTTTCTTTTTGTTTTCAGATTTGTTTTGTTTTGAGGATTACCTAACTGATGAAATGGAATGGCAATGACAGGAAGAACTTCCCTGTACCTCAAGACAAGAACCGCTGTGTGTCCAGGTGCTAGGCTAACAACCTTGTAAAGTACTCCTGTAAGAACCAGCCAATCATTGAGGGATTGGACATAAAATGGACACCATACCAATACAGCAATTTCTGGCATACAAGCTACAAGGATTCCTGAGAAACTGAGGTTAATGAATGGTATTTCTAAGGAGTGAGGTATCAAAGGGATATTGTCAATTATCTGGAGGGCCCATCGGTGCTTAGCATCTAGACAGTATCCATTCGCACAGTGTTATCTGATTTCTTAGATTTATTCTCTGAAGTAGCACCTTAACACTGGCTCGTCTGTGTACAATGAAGAAAAAAAAAACTAGAAGGCAAACGAGACAATCCATGTCACTGCTGCTCTATGAGACATGACCAAACCTTCCCATGCCAACAAATACCAGTCACAGTAACGTTTCCTGTTTGGCAGACTTTAGTGAAGAGGGATCACTAATGAAATAGGTACCAACTGAACCTGAAATACATAGACAAGATCTCTGATCTCCACATAATACACTATCTGCTCAGGCAGAGTCTTATCTCACACAAAGAATGCAGTGGCAAAGAAGGAACAAGACATAAAGTCACAGAGCCATGACTATGATACCATGTACCCCAAGCATTCTTTTTCATTAAAATGCCAGAGCAATAGATTTAAAAGGAGAAACTCTGGGGGCTACGTTGACATAGTAAAGATTAAAAAAAACCAAAATATGTCTTGGCTATTCAGCCCTGGATAATAAAGGAATTTCTGATTTTGGAACAGTAAGAAGTAGGGGTAAAAAAAAAGTCCTTGACTCAGGGATCAACAACTTTTAAAATGAGGTACACCGAGTTGCTTGGGAGGGGTGGGTTACACATGGGAATGTGCCAAGGGCCACTGATTCTGAGCTAGAAGGACAGTCGGAAGTAGCAGGGACAGATTTTGTAAGATGAACAAGGCTGAACTCTTACCCAACATTGTGGCCTCGCTGCCATGGGAAGCTGAAACAGAAATGGAGGCACGGCAGCAGCAACGGGGGCACATGGCAAACCAAAAGTGTCACCTCTAGTCTAAGTGTTTCAACACTGCTGAGCCTTGGCTTACAATTTAACTAGCCCTAGTAGATATTTTTGTCATTAGTAGGAAGGATTAACTAAGCATACTGCTCCATCCTAAAGAGGATTCAGTGCTGAGAAGAAAAGCAAAAAGAATGGAGGGAGAGTAATTGCACATGGATAAAATGATAGAAAATGAAAGAGTGGTTGGAATGCTGGTGGTGGCTCTTGAATTCCACCAGGTGTTTCTATAATATGATTTTTTTAAACTGCCACACTTGTGGTAGGAAATTGAGACAGGCACCTCTTTAACTGGGTACAAGCACCTTTGGTGTCATCAGGCCTCATCCATCCACCTAGGTTTTAGGATGGCTCTGCAATTTAGTCAGATCTGGTACCTCAAGGTAGCTGCAGTTGCCTATCCCGTTCCAGTTCTTTCAATACATGGAGAAGCATCTATCTCTAGCCTACTTCATTGATCACAGGAACAATGGCCTGTTATGCATACTCCACACTAGGAGGAGCACAGATGTCCAGTTAGTTATTTTAGTACTGGTGGTCTTTTCAAAGGAATGCATCCGGATACTGATGCAGCTCTCACTCTCCCCTGCTTTACCAGTATTCAGCCTAGACTCGCTTCCATACACTATTCTTACTTATTCCAGAAGCCTAAAGCACCATCATCCATGGAGGTGGCATCTGGGTAAGAGATTTCGTTAGGACTTCACAAAAATGTGAACTTCCTAGTCACCGACTTTGCTCAGAACTTTATCTTCATTTCAAGAAAACCGGGAGAAATAATTCCTAGATACTAATAAATTCCTAACAAAGTCCTTGACTACTAGCTAGCATTGCCATTTGGAAAATTAGCCTTTCTGCAGCCAAGGAGAAAGCTCTGTAACTTAACTTTGTGCACTTTAAAGACCAGGGCGAGCAGGCTCTAAAGGTCAACCCCTCTACTTCACTTGGAGGAGATAACCAGAGCAGCACTGTCTTCTCCTGAAAAGGTAAACGTAACAAACTAATAATTCTAAATACTGTAACAGGAATAAGAATTTAACTGAATCTTCACAGTCTAAAAATGCCATTGCTATTTCCTTCTGGCTTTCCTTTCTGTAGCTTGAAAGGCAAAGCCCCTTAGTTCACACTTCATCTTCTACCAATGACAGTTAGAGTCCCCCCCCAACACATGACTATTTCATGAGTTTCCTTCAGGCTATATGTCAGAATAGTTGGAATTTTTCTTGCATAGTTTTCAGTGATTGCATATTGGCTAACAATTATTTTTAAATTAAAAAAAAATAATTTTAAAGAACAAACATAATTAAACCATGGCAGTCTTTTTTACTCTTTCGTGAACCCTCCATAATGCATTATCACATAAGCCTATCTGTATTTTCTTCTAGAGAGATTAATTTCCAGAAATTATGTAGTGCAACTGGTTAACTTGTAGGAAACAGACAACACACTAATACGACTTCACCATCCAAATATGGGAAATGTGTTTTGGGTACCCAGTTAATAAAATATATCCATGGTCCACAATGTCCTTGTTTTATATCCAAAACAACCCATGATTCTAGTTGAAGAGGATGGAATCGGGATCTTGGTTTGCCATCTGTGCTATGTGCTTTAACACATCCTTTTTGGTAATGATTCCAAGTAAGCGCCTAAAAGACAAACACATAAAACAAAGCCAAAATAAATGTACAGTGAAAATAGCGTTCTTAGCTAAAAGTGATTCTTGTCCTCCTTAATCTTTCTCAACTTTCTTTCTCACCACAATACAATGTGTACTTGGAGTAGTCTGAGCTAACTCATATATATATATATATATATATATATATATATATATATATCAAATGGAATAATGCATACATCCCTAAATAACACTAACACTTCTACATCTAGGTCTCAGGTCCCACATTTCCCCCTGATTTAAATAATTTAAATATTACTCTTCAAACCTATGAATCTTACCTACTTACCGAAGTCCTATTCAGATGCTCCCCCACCCCCAAACATCCCTGGTCCTATGAACCAGCTGAGACTCCGCACTGCTCCCAGCAATGGCATGCTCTGTGCAGGCTGGTCCACAGTCCTTATTCTTTTTGCTTTTGCCCTACGATCACTTCTATGTTCCTGACTTCCCTACAACCATGCACACTATTCAAGGACAGAGAAAGATTACTTTCATGGCTCCCAGAATCTCGTGGAGTATTTTCTTACACGAGTAAGGGCTTTAGTAAACACTACCTACTAGAGAAAGTCTACTTACTGACTTAGCTCTTGTAAGTTATTTATTATGTATGTCATTTCCAAATTTTAGAAGCAGGAGGAAAAGAGTTATTAGGTTAACATAGGGTATTAAAAACAAGAAGACACTTCAGGCATCTTCTTAGCCTGTACTCTTTCCCAATGACAATAGTGGGGCTTCTTTACTGGACAAGATATATTCCAGGAAGAATAGTCTTGGGCTTGGAAGTTCAAAGACTTGTGATTTATAGCCTATACCCTACCATCTATTTATTTAACTGGGGGCCCTTGTGTAGATAGACCTCACTGAATCTTGGATATTTGTTTTCTTTCCTCAAATAATAACAAGGGGATTTTGGAGATAGAGTCTCATGTAGACCAGGGTAGGATAAATTCACTACATAGCTGATGCTGGCCTAGAACAACTGATTCGCCTGCTTCTACTATCCAAGTGCTGGGATTACAGGTGTGTGCTACCACCCTGGTCAGCAGTCTCTGTAACTATGGCTTTGGTTACCCAAGGGCAACCATAGTCTAAAACAATAAGATATTTTAAAAGGAGGGGGAACTCTGCAATCACAAAATGTTTATGACAGTATTATTATAATTGTTCTACTTCACATTTATTGTTTTTACTCTCTGACTGCATCTGACTTATAAATTAAGCTTCCTCATAGGCATGTGAATATACAGTGACAAACATAGTATATATGAAGGTCAGTATTAGCCATGGTTTCAGTCTTCCCGTGGTGATTAGAAGGCATGTCCAAAGGGTTGGAGGTACCACTGTACATCTCTGACACCATTACAATTTCAGTGATGCCTGTACCCAGCAGCACAGTTCCTTTCTTAGTAGAGGAGAAACTGAGTTACTGATAATGGGCAACTAATAGTTTGCATCTCTCAAACAAGACCCTTTAATCATATCTACCTTCTTCTTGGAGCTTCGAAAAGGCCTAAAAGTGTTTATTTAAACTTGGGTTCTCCCTTTTATCTCTCTAGTCAGTTTCTCCCATAATCCAAACTGCCTTTATTCAAGGGTGCTCACCCATTGTGTGTAACCAGGCACTGGCGCAGTCCCAGCTTGCGGAAGATATCCACTACGATCTCCATTGGCGTAAGGTCTGTCACAGTGAAGGGGCTGAGATCCAGGATGTTCCGAAGCTTCAGGGTAGGTGGAGTATATGGCGGCATTGGAGGTGAGTGCTCAGTGAAATAAATGATGGAAGTGCTCACAACCCCATCCTGTTTCTTCCGAGCATTTTCTATGTGAAGAGAAGGGAATGAAAAGTTGCAAGTTGAAGTGCTAGCTCTACATTCTGTCCCTTAACCAGGCCCCTTCCCTTTGTTTCCCTGACTTCATGCACACTTAGAAAATTCCTTTATTCCTTTACTGAAATCCTTACCAATTGAAATGATGAGATCTCTTCGAAGAACAAAGCCCACGAGTCTTTGTGACTCTCGGGAGACTACCACTGGAAAGCCACTGTAAGTGGTTTCACTGATTATGGTCTCTACATCTTCCACAGTCATACTGTCCTGAGTAAGGACAGTCAGCAAGGGATCATTTCTCCGGGGCTTCATCACATCCATTGCCAGAGTCTTGTGAGCAAATTCTTCTTTGGCTTCAAGAAAGGGGTATCCATTGAGACGAATGTGGGCATCATAAATGCCCTCTCGCCCAAGAGCATCTGCCACCCACTTGCTTGTCATGGCTGCAGCCATGAGAGGCACAATGTATTCCAGGCCACCAGTCAGTTCAAACATTATGACAACAAGAGAAACAGTCATCCGAGTTACCCCACCTACAAAGAAAAAAGACATAGGAAAGAAAGCACAAGAGTTATTACAACTGCATACCTGCTGTGGGTTTCATTGGGAAAAGAACTAGAAATAATGCTAGAACGGTGTCTCAGCAGATTCCAGTTTGCATTAAAACAAGGCTGTACAGTAGACATGGCTTAGATTCTCAAAATAAAAGCAGAAACAGCCTTCTAGTTTACAAACTTGTTTTTTTTCCTAACTGTAAATGTAATACATACTTATCACAGAAAATGTAGCTGTCTATAAGCAGAATAAAATTTTTGGTTTTCTCCAATTCAAAACTGTATTTTTATATATAAGCAGAGTAAAATTTTCACATTTTTTCTGAAACAAAACATCTATTTTTACATATGTGAGCTCATATTATGTTTAGTTCCCTATCATACTTTTTCCCATCATTTGTTGGGAATATTCAACATTACTCCCAATTTTAAATTATATTAACAAACAAATTAAAGGGTTGCGGCAGCAAGACAGCTAGTTGTTGCCAAGTCTTATGAACTAAGTTTGACCATCCAGAACCCAAGTGGTGAAAGGAGAGACGTGAATCTGGTAAGTTGTCCTCTGACCTTGACACACACACACCATGGCTTCTCTTCTCCCACCATAAAATAAATGTAAGACAAAAGTTTTAAATATCACATTGAAAGATGCTAAAAGTTAACAGAGGCTTTGTGGTTCATGCCTATAATTCTAGTTAGTCAAGTGGTGGAGGCAAGAGGATCATATGTGTAGGAAAAACCTAGTGAGATTTGTCTTAAAATAAAAAGTGAAAAGGAAGCTTGCAATATAGCTCAGTGGTATTTATATTCCACTGGAATATAGCTCAGAGCTTGCCTAGCAAGTAGCATACCTTGGGTTCAATCCCTAGCACAATACACATGCACACATACAAAAACATGTTATATGTAACAGCATCATGTTTAAGGGCCATAGAATGTAATATATGGATGGAGCACAATTTACTTCACAAGTTCCTTCTTGTTCAAATTTAGGTTGCTTTTCATTGGCAGGGGAGGAGGCTGGGCTGCTTTTCAGAGAAGGTCTTACTGTGTAGGTTAGGCAGGCCTGGCACTTGAGACCCTCTCAAGGGCTGATTACAAGTATGTGCCACCACACCTGCCTAATTTTGGTTCTTATAAATATTACTGTGATACACATTCTTATGCAGGTAGCTATGTCCAGATTTCTGATGACTTCCCCTATGTGAGAGATTAGAATTACCTTTCTTAAAATGTTTGAGAAATAGTAAACCCAACAAGAAATGGATAATTATGAGAAAAAAAAAACACTCTGCACTCTGCAGTCCATTGCATTTCTTATTACTCTTCATTTGTATGTCACTGGCAGGGTAACTTTTTTGAAGCCAAACACTACTCACCTAAACAGGCTGCAGCCCCAACCATAGCATAAAGGCCAGGTGTGATGCAATCAGCTCCCTGACTACACCAGCTATTGAAGATGCCCCAATCATGGTGGTAATAAGCCAGTTGCTCCATTCCTACTCCTAAAAGACGGCCTGCTATAGCACCAACAGCCATGCTGGGGATAAAGAGACCGGAAGGAATCTGCAAAGAGAAGCAACAGGTGCTTAGTGAGAAATGATGTTGCTCTTGCCATATGGTAGGGCTAGAGGACTGACCCTCTGCAAAGCAAACAGGCCAAAGACAATTTAACTATGCACTATGCTACCAAGTGGCTGCAAAGATTTGTGTAACACTACAGGGACTAGAGGTTCTCTGGGACGTGCAGGCAAGGATGACTTCGAAGAAGCTTACCCTGATGCGGGGGTCCATCAGGCAAGAGCCTGAACTCTCCAGACCAACACAAAACTGGAGGCAGAAATTAGGCCTTTCCCAAAGAAAAAGGAAAATAGATGGAATTTCTTATATATGCAGACATTTCCCCCAATTCTGAATTTTTATCAGTAACAATCTACCCTTTGTTGACTATTGTGTTTTATGCTGGATGGTCTATATAAAGATTTTGATAGATGTTCTATAATAACACCAGAAATTAGATATTATTATTATTTCTAAATGATAGGCCCTAAGGTTCAGAGAGGTTAAATCATTTACCCAAGGTCAACAGTTAGTGAATATTAGTGCTGGGATTTAAATAAAATACTCATAATGATAGTTATATATTGTATCCTAACCCATCACTCAAATAAAAAAGATGGCATAGGAAGTTTCCATCTACCTTATAACAACACAACAGTAGATTAAACAAAAATTTTAAATGAGATGGTGGCTATAGCTGCATGCTTAACTGAAAAAAAAGGAACATTCATCTACCTTCCTGTTTTGTTTCTTGACTTCTATGAACTATTAATATCAAAGGAAGGAAATGATAGTACACACAAAGTCAAGACAGCTTATGGTTCCTTGATTTTAGTGTGCAATTGACATTGGGATGCACTCAAGTTGGTGTTCTGTAGATCTACAGATTCCCTTTAGAAAACAATGAAACAATGTTGAAATCAACCCAAGAAGCACCCAGGAACTTTTCAGGGTCTCCATCTTATCCCTGGTTCAAATGCCTTTCCATGGAGAAGAGAGGGAACAATTTGGTAGTAGGGTGCTAAAGAGAAGAAACAAAAAAGAAGAAAAACCTAGAATGGAGGAAACAAATGCTTTAACCAAATTTCTGTTTTTGTTTCTTCTAAAACTTGGAGATTGTAACTTAAGGTATTAAAGGTAAAGAATGACACCCTAAGATCTGCTTTTAAATAAGACACAATGATTGTACATATTTATTCAGTGTGATATTTGAATGTGTATACAACGTGTAGTGATCAAATCTGAATAATTAACACATCTATCATTTGAACATTTTGAGATATACAATAAATTATTGGTATTGTCACTTTACTTTGCTATAGAGCACTAGACTAACTCCTCAGATAATTCTACTCTGCAAGTGGACGAGATCAACTGTAGCTCCTATGTGTAAGAATGTGCTTGGATTGTTTTTTACACTTATTGTGGTGTGTGAGTGTGATGTTTGTGTAGAGGCCAGAAGACAACTTTCAGGAGTTGGTTCTTGCCTTTTACCATGTAGGTTCTAGGAAATGAACTCAGATCCACAGGCTTGGTAGCAAGCTCTGTTACCTGTAGAGCCATCTCACTGGACTGTGTTATCTGGTTTTGATAGTTGAAATATTTTAATCTTAACCTGTGAAGTGGACCCTACACATTACCAAGTCAGCAGGGATACTAACTATAAAAACACCATTTAGCTGTGTGTTGGGTTGAATTCTATGAAGCTGCTAACCACTAAAATGTATTTAATATGGTAGAACATTGGTAACCTCATGGAGTTCAGGCTAAAATTGTGCTTCTTTAATTAACTCTAACACGTACCCTATAAAGTAGCACTTCTCAAGCTTCCTAATGCTACGACCCTTTAATACAGTTCTTCATGTTGTGGTGACCCCCCCAGCCATAAAGTTATTTTGATTGCTACTTCATAACTGTCATTTTGCTACAGTTCTAAATTGTACTGTAAATATCTGATATGTAACCCCTAAGGGGTCACAACCTACAGGTTGAGAACCACTCTATAAAGACTATCAATGCATTAGTCACATATTGCACTGGCATAGAAAATGTTTTAGCACAAATATCTCACTATCTTTTTTGTGGGGGAAATGTTTTTACATAGAAAAAGAGAAAATGTGTCTCTTAAAAACTCCTTAGTGAGGTTTGCATTTGACCTAAATATAGGTTTAAGCAATTTGAGACGGAGTTACCATGAAAACACTGAGGGGCAAAGGAGCGTCTGGGGAAAGTTGGTGCCACATGAACTATCAAGACTGTAGGATACTTTGGCTTTGCCCTCCAAAGCCCACATCCACACAGAACATTCACACAGAATTCACCAAAAGAATTCCTCATTCCTCACCTTCATGCCAAAGGTGAATATAGTAATGACTATTTTCAGTATGAGTGTCAAGGCCAGCTGCCACATAGCACTGTAGACTCCCTTGCCAGCAGGTCTGTCCGGTAGCTCACCGCCTTTGCTTGTGTTGAAGTGGTTCTCATAATCACAGAGCTTGGAGGAGTCCAGGAGGCCACAGTCATTGAACAGCTCAGAAATGAGCTCACTTGTGCTCATCCGGGTATATTCATTGGGGAAAGCCAAGATGGCAGTGATGGCTGTCACAATGAGTACCTCGACGACAGGATACTTGCCCAATTGGGTGGTTTTACGCTTCCGACACCAGGCAATGTTTGTGCGGATAAATAGAGCTCCCCAAAGGCCACCAAATATGCCTAGCACAATGAATGGCACAAGCTCAAAAAGATGCCATGGGGTGTGAAACTCCACATAAAATAGAACCAAGCGGCTGTTTCCAAATGGATTGATGGATCGGAGCGTAAATGCTGCCACTAGGGCAGCAAAGAATGAACGCCATAGTGTTTTGAGGGGAAAATAGTAGCTGACCTATAAGACAGAAGGTGAGAAAGCAAACTTAGTCAAGATGCAAAAACTGTTTTTAAATGAAATGACAACTTGCCAGAAAGTTCTGCTTACATGCTAAAGGACTGCAACATACATAGATACTGGCCAAGATTTCTAATACAAAGCATACACATGCTTTACAGACAGAAGTCATTACCTCTTCCAGGCTGAATAATACTCCACCGATAGGTGCCCCAAAGGCTACAGACACACCAGCAGCTGCTGCAGCTGATAACACCTACAATCCAAAATGCAAAATCAGCAATAGAATAATATGGCTTTCTTATATTCAATCACATTTTTAAAGAAATGTTCATAGCCACTAAGAATTAAAAAACAATAACTTTACAGGGCTGACCATTTTTACACAAGCAACACTAAATAGACTCTGTGGGTTATATTTAAGTGTGTGTGTGTGTGTGTGTGTGTGTGTGTGTGTGTGTGTTTATAAGAACTACAAAAATCAAAGGAAAAGATGCCATCAATTTGAGAAGGAGTGGGTCATATGGGAGAAGTTGGAGTGAGTGGTATAATTATATTTGAATTAAAAATCCTAAAAGGAGGGAAAACAAATTTTACATGTTCCATATCATAAAAAATGAGGTTCAATTTCTATTTACTTGGAGAGCAAATACTATATGCTAGATGTTGAATACATATATGGTCCGTATGCTTGAACAACAAAAAAAAGAGCCTTTACTTTGTGACTGAGGCATGTGCTTAATTCTAATTGGGCCCATACTGGCAGCCCTCCTGGTGCAGCAATTGAACTTGAGTTTGGAAACCCAGATAAAGTACTTTGCAGTGAGGCATTTCACCCACATACTTTGTTTCTTTTAGTTTTTAGAATTATAATTATACCATTTCCCCTTCTATTTCCTTTCTCCAAACCCTCCCATATACTCTTCCTTGCTCTCCTTCAAAATTATGGCCTTTTTCACTAATTCTTATTATATGCATATATGTATATACATATATATTCCCAAGTGTAACCTGCTTAGTCTGTATAATGTTACTTGAATGTACATTTTCAGAGCTGCCTATTTGGTGCTGAATAAATAATTGGTGTGCTCTTCCCTGGGGAAGACTATTTTCCCACTCTCAGCATTCCTGATTAGCATGTAGTTCTTTGTGTAGGGTTGAGACCTCATGGGCTTTCCCCGTAGCACATTTGGAAATATTTTAATGAGGTATTACAGAAGGCTCTAGTGATATAAAAGTGAAGTTACAGTTTAGAATTGCCTACACCTTGTAGCCTAGTCCAGTCTCAATGGCCTATAGAAATACAAATAGAGAGACACCTAGATTTCTAAAGGCAGAGAAGACAGATGGCACGGAGAGGGAAGAGAATAGTGCATCACCAGGAAAAGAGGGGCAAGTGAACAAGTGGTGTTTAGAGAGGATTGCCTTTTACGTGGATGTGTAGGCATGGAAGATGTGCAGAACACACACTAGAATTCATAGGAACACGTCATTTGCTACTACTACTAGCTGTGGAGAGAGATGAATTAGAGCCATATAGTAAAGATGAAATTGAACAAAAGGAAGACTTTTGAAGAATGAAATACTTCTTGGCAAAACAAGCAGACAGGTTTCTTCAGGACTGGCAAACCATCTGGGGAAATTAAGGGGAAGGAAAAGGATATAAATCTCTGGTGCTAACCTTGAGAGCTTGGACAAGTCAGAGCTCAAAAGGCTGTCATTTGAGAAGGTCAGGGAATCTAAAATTCAACCCATAAACAGGGATATTTCACTGGGTATGTTTAGGATGAAACTGGAGGGGGAAACTTAAGTTTTACATTTGAGGATGGAATCTCTGCCCCCCCTGTCCAACTCAGATCTGCTCATAAGGCCACTGGTTACAAACATGTGCTGCTATTGACAAGTACAAAACAATGTAACTTTCACAAGGCTCTGGGACTGAGGCCCAGCATGACAGAAAGAAACACTAGGATATCTAAGTTAAAGCAAAACGACTAAAAATCCAGATGGTCAGATAAATGTCGGGCAAGTTCAGACAAACATTTCAACTTCTAAAAGGAATCCAGTTTCAAACTCAACTCTATCGGTGCAAAGGCAGCAACCAACACTTATTCTTGCCCTTTAGAATGGTTTTCTTCTCAGTTAGCTGACTTGGTACATGTTATTGCTGATAAACAACTTCTCTAATTTAGCACAGCTTCTGTGTCCTTCTCCCACATGACACTCTACTAGCATGCCCCTCCGCCACTCCTGCTTGCTCTCCTCCCCTTTCTGACTGCTCCAGGAACTTTTCCCCGTTTAGTGGAAACTTTATCCCTCACTTAAAACCTCAGCATTTTCAGTTTCCAGAGCCTCCGCTTAATCTTTTTCTGTCGTTATTTTCAGGAGAAACCACTGGATTCCAGTTTTACAAGAGGTTCTTTCTAATAAAATGATCTAGGCCTTGACCTATTCCGCCTGTGACTTTTAGGCCATTCAAGGAAAATAAAACAAGAACCACTGCTTCCTTAGGTTAATAATTATAGCAAGATAAAAGGAACCAATGACTTAGGACAATTTTTTAAAAACTATTCTTCCTTCTTGGTGGATGGGGGGGTAGAAGGGAGATGGGAGATGGAATGAGAAGAGAGGGGGAGGGAAAACTGATCAGTATATAAAATAAATGAAAAAAATAATCTAAAAAAATTTAAATTAAAAAGAAAAATATTCTTCCTCCTCAAAATAGTATACATTAACAACTGGATGTATTTGAGCTGGAGTATAAGCACAGTGTGCTAGTTTGAAAGAAATGGCCCCCAAAGGCAGTGGCACTATTAGGAGGTGTGGCTTTGTTGGAGTATGTGTGGCCTTGTTGGAGGAAGTGTGTGTGTGGGGGGAGCTTTGAAGCTCATTTGCTCAACCTTCATTCAGTGTGACACTTCACTTCCTCTTGCCTGCAAGATGTAGAACTCTCAGCTACCTCTCCAGCACCATATCTGCCTGCACACTGCCATGCTCTCTGTCATGATGATAATACACTGAACCTCTGAACTTTAAGCGCACCACCCCAATTAAATATTCTCCTTTATAAGAATTGCTGTGGTCATCGTGTCTCTTCACAGCCCTAGAAACCCTAAGGGGTTGGAGAGATGGCTCAGAGGTTAAGAGCACTGACTGCTCTTCCAAAGGACCTGGGTTCAATTCCCAGCAACCACAAGGTGGCTCACAATCATCTATAATGAGATCTGGTGCCCTCTTCTGGCCTGCAGACATATATGCTGGCAGAACACTGTATATGTAATAAAGAAATAAATCTTAAAAAAAAAACAAATCAAACAACAACAACAAAAACCCTAACTAAAACATACAGTGATGCTACAGTAGAAAGAATTTAGATGGACTGAAGCAAGAGGCAGGCAGAGAGAGGTGTAATACAGGGAGAAACTAATTCAAGTGGCATTTAATAACAATAAAAGATGAAAACCTGCCATTTGAAATACTGTTTATATTTACTCATACACAACAAGTCCCTCAAAGTCTATTATTTTCTATAGTTTCTTTTTAAGAAGTGACACATAAAAATAAAATAAAAATTCAAGTCCTCACTTCTCCTTTCCTACTGCCTTATTATCCCACCTAACACAAAGTGCATGCTTTTCACAGTTTAGAATAAAATTATTCCCAGATATTTTGGGGTTTTATATATTCATCTTCATGTATGCAGGTATGCAAGTGTACAGATGCATGTATGTGCAAGAGAGGCCAGAGGTCAACCTCAAGTGTTGTTCCTCAGGCACTATCCACTTTGTTTGTTGAGACAGTGTCTTTCATTGGCCTGGTACTGGGCTAGCAGCCAAGGCTGGCTGGGCATTGAGACCCAGAGATCTGCCTGTCCCTCCCAAGCACTGGGATTATAAGTATGTACCACTTTAAAAGAATAGGTTCTTGGACGTTTGTAAGGTAAGTACTTTACTGACTGAGCCACCACACCAGCCCTAGACATTTTCTTCCTAAATGCAAAGACATACATTTACTGGTTATCCCATAAACAGTAGTCACAAACTAGCTGTAGTGTTCTGTTGTCAGCAGTCCATGTCAATTTATTTTGGGCTATCTCATTCTTTTAAATGGTTGCACAGTTGCCTATGATATGAGCAGAACAGTTTTTTTAAATCAAGGCCTTATTTGATGGACATTTTGCTTTTACAATGTTAAGTTTGTGTTGACTATCCTTAGATACCTGTGCATATACACATACTAGCGTGGCTATAAAACAGACTCCTAGAACTGAACCTGCTGAACCAAAAGCTAGTTGAATTCACAAGGATGAAATCCCCAAATTCTCACCACTAAGATCATCTCTGCTCATGAGTAAAAATAAACTATTAAGGTCAAATGTCATTACCTCTCTGCGCTTGGCTTCATTCTTCCTGTACTTGTTGAAGCAGTGACACAAGATGTTCCCACAGCAGCAAGCCACGTGCACTAGGGGGCCCTCTTTGCCCAGGCTCAAGCCAGATGACACTGCCAGCACCAAAGTGATAGTTTTGATGACAAGGGTCCACTTACCCAAATAACCCCTAATAATGAAACCACTCAGGATAGTTTTTATCTGCAGGCCAAACACAGAAAGATTAAATACAGACTAAGTAAATAAACAAAGCTGAAAAGCTAAAATCTGCACATATACTTGTCCCATGAGGGATCTCAGAATAGGAAAGACCTAGGAAAGCCAGAAGTATTTTTGCAAACTTCCATGAACTTTTGGGGAGTAAAGGGCCATGTGACAGTTGGAAAGAGGATGAGAGTGTAAGAGTGAGAGTGTGTGGATGGAGAAACAGAAGCAGTTGAGGAGGAACAGGTATTTCCACCGGTTATAAAATATTCTGAGAATAAGGTCAGTGTTCACGAAACAGCCTGAAAGAGTAAGTACAGCCTGGAATATTTGCCAAAGAACATTGTGACTATTACTGAGGAGCAAGGCCATCTTGATAACCTAAAATTGACATTGCTTGAGTAAAACAATCTAAGCCCCAAATAGATAGGAAAGGAGTTCGGGCCATCATCTCCCCTCTTCTAGGCCAAATTCTGTGACCCAGGCTGAGAGGAGACTTAAAGGAAAATCTAGTTGGAGCTTAGATACCCTCTGGCTCTGATCCTGATTGATAGTCACCAAGCTGTAGTATATATGCAGGAATACACAGAAAAGTTTGACAAAAATTGGTTCATACTGTACTTACCTCAGGGATTCCAGAGCCACAGGCATAAGGTGCAAATGCTTTGACAAGAGATACAGCAAGGAAAGCAAACAGGAGAGCCCAGAGGACATACATGAAATAGTTGACTATGTAGGCAAAAGCTCCCTGGAACAGAAAAAAAAAGACAGATGCTGTTTTAGTGTAGACAGCTGGGTGGGGAACGCAGCTCTTTTCAGTGACATTTTGCCAGGAGAGTAGTTGGGAAGAAAAAGAACAACAGTAAATTGCTTAAATATCTCATTGCAGGCCATTCATGAGAGAAACTACTGAAACACCATAATGCACCCTTGGTACTGAAAATCACATGTCTTGCTGCGATCAGAGGAAATTCTCAAAGTATTCTAAGAGTTGATATGCTGGAAAGGAAAATGGAAAACCTTCAAAACATGACTCACTTTTGTCTTTGAGACAACATCTCACTATGCATCTATGGTTGGCCTAGTACTTGCTATGTCAACCAGGCTAACCTCAAGCTCACAGAGATGCAACTGCCTCTCTAGCCAGAGGCATAAACCAGGAGGCCAAATTCTTGGCAAGAGAAAGCTCATTCAGTTTTTGATGCAGCGTCTTGATATGCAGCCCTGTCTGGCCTCCAACTTGCAGCAATCCTCATGCCTCTGCCTCCCAAGAACTGGGATTGCACACTGAAACCATACCTGGTTATAATATACATTTTATTAGTATTTTTGTCAGTTTTGCAGTCAAATATGTATGATCCTATGTCAAGTTTAACAATAGCCTTCCCAGTTTCTTGGATGGGTAAACCTTGACTACTTATCTGAAGTGATGACAAGCTTCAACATTCAATTACCCATACCTATCTTGGTGTTAAATTCCCACAGATTACCAGGCTCCCTGAATGTGGGTGAGAGTTGGGGGGCTTGGGCTGTCTATGGAACCAGTATTTATCCCTAGTGCACGAACGGGCTTTTAGGAGCCCATTCCCTATACTCTCTCAGTCTAGATATAGGGGGAAGGGCCTAGACCCTGGCCCAAATGATGTGACTTTGATGGTCCCCCATAGGAGGCCTCCCTGTTTCAGAGGAGTGGATGGGGGTGGAATGGGGGTTGGTGGGGGCATGGGAGGATAGGAGTGAGAGGGAACTGGGATGGGTATGAAAAAGAAGATTGTTTTTAATTTAAATAAAAAACTAATAAAAATTCTCAGAGATTATAGTAACTAAACTTCTTGCATTGTTTCATTTCTTTATAATTATTTACTGTGCATGTTTAGGGCAAGTAGCATGATAGTGAGGAGAGTGTTTTATTTGTTTCAGTTTTTAATTCTGGAGAGTTAACCCTGGGTTCACACATGCTAAAAGGCATGTGTAGCTTTGGAGCCTATCCTGGCACTCGCCCTGGAGACCAGGGTGGTCTTGAACTCACAGAGATCCACCGCCTGCCTCTGCCTCCTGAGTGCTGGGATTAAAGGTGTGCACCACCAACGCCCGGCTACAGAGGACACCCTTGAATTGTTATTCCTCCAGCCTCCACTTCCCAAGTGCTAGAATTAGAGTTATGAGCTACCATGTCAAATTCTAGTCCTTCATGCTTTATTTTATTTTTAAAGTGTGTGTATGTATGGGTGCATACCATGTTAGTGCAAGTGCCAGTGGAGGCCAGAGGTGGCAGTACATTCTCTGGTGCTAGAATTACAGGCAGTTGTGAGCTATTAGATGTAGGTGATAAGAATCAAACTTTAGTCCTCTAGAAGAGCAACAAGCACTCTTGACAGTTAAACCATCTCTGGAGCCCCAAGCCTTGATGTTTTAATACATGTATATCCAATGTCACAGATATTTATATAACAGTCAGCCTCCATAATTATGCTTCTTTGAATAGTAAATTTTCAGTGTTCAATATTCTTAACTACAGTTCTCATGTGGTACATTGTATCTCTAAATTTATTCACCCCACCTAATTGCCAATTTATACCTTTGGCTGCCATCATTTCCTATTCATCCTGCCTGAGTAACCATCATTATAGACTGTTACGCCTTTACCTGTTACTTTAAATATTCTACATTTAATAATTACATCTTAGAGAGAATGGTTAACACAGACACAGAAAAAAGTGTGTGAGTAGAAACTATCTGACCCTAATAATCCCAGATTCTCCAAAGAATGAAAAGGGAATAATTATTTTCATACAGACAGAATATACTTTTGATATGTATGTATGTATGTATGTATGTATGATTATGAAGTGTGACATCTAAAAAAAGTTCTCTCTTTTTTTGTTTTGTTTTTTTTTGAGACAGGTTTTCTCTGTGGCTTTGGAGCCTGTCAGCAGGCTGGTCTCGAATTCACAGAGACCCACCTGCCTCTGCTTCCCAAGTGCTGTGATTAAAGGTGTGTGCTTAAAAAACCACCCGGCGTAAAACATTAGTTCTGAGCACTAAAAATTAACTATTATGGAATATTATTTTAAGGTGTGTTACATTTGCTTATGCTGTGGAATATTTGTTTAATGATGCAAAGATGTGTTGCATTCTTTCATGTTTCATTTCACTCTGTAAAGCTGTGTTATTGTGCCTGTCTAAAACAGGCAACAGCTAGGCAGAAGAGGCAAATGGGCAGTGCTGCCAGGCAGAGAGAATAAATGGGAGACATCTAGGCAAGAGAGAAGAAGAGTGAAGGAGTTGGAAAAGGAGGAGAGAAGGATGCCAGGGGCCATCCATACCCACCCACACAGCCAGCCACAGAGTAAGAAGGGAAGAAACACATATAGAATAAAGAAAGGTAAAAAGCCCAGACACAAAATGTAGTTAAAGAGAAATGGAATAATTTAAATTAGAAAAGCTGGCTAGAAACAAGCCAACCTAAGGCCGGGCATTCATAAGTAAGAATATGTCTCCATGTACTTATATAGGAGCTACGTTGCAGGCCCCGAAAGTGTAAAAAAAAAAAAAAAAGATCCAACTACATTTTGGCACCCAATATGTGTAGAGGAAGCTGTAGCCACCCCTACTTAGCTTCCCCTACGGGGCTCGAACCCATGACCCTGAGGAATGAGCTAGCTGGACCTAGATTTCTCCTCCTATTTATTCTCTCTGCCTGCCAGCCCTGCCTCTCCATCTCTCCTACCTAGCTATTGGCTGTTCAGTTCTTTATTATACCCATCAGATGTTTTAGACAGGCAAAGTAACACAGCTTCACAGAGTTAAACAAATGAAAAATGAAAGAATGCAATACATACTTGCATCATTAAACAAATATTCCACAGCATAAACAAATGTAACATATCTTCAACTAATACTCCACAGCAATTAGCATTAAAGGTCTGGCAAATAGTGATGCTTTACCCACAAGGAACACCGAACACCAGGGGTTATACTTCAGATGACATAGATACAACGCTCATTGGACTTCCAACTTTGCAAAACATAAAACGCTATGAGAATTTAAAGGCCTAGCCAAGGAGAATCAGGACTCTGTGGTTTTGTTAGTTGTGAATTTGATACAATTTTTCCATGATCTTAGGTCCTCAGAGAACAATTACTTTTTTGTCCTTTAAGAGGAGTTTGAGAGCAAGTGAACTCCAGAGGTAGGAAACAAAGAGGGAAAGGCAGTGAAAGGGAAAACAGACACTGACCAGAGGCAGAGACCAGTGGCCAAACTGTTGGCAAGCGAAGGCTTCTGAAAGCCTCACAGGCTATTTCCCCAGGCAATGATTTCATTCATAAAAAGAGCCAGAAAAATCTGTTGTGTGACCAAATCTCTAGGACAGACTGATAATAAAGGGCTAGTTATACAGGGGCAGCATGAGGGAGCTGTCTTACATCATCATAAAACTACAGATCTCTCTCCCTCCCTCCCTCCCTCTCTCCTGCTTTTGGTTATTTTGTATACAGCTAGAGAACTAAAATGTATTGGTGATGTTGCATCACCAATGCATAGAGAGTTCACCTAGCATACTCAAGGCCCTAGGGTCAACCTTCAGCACCACAAATCCAGAAACACAACAACCAAAACAGGGGAATAAGTTCTATGGATTTTAGATATATCAATTTCCTGCACTCTTGCTATGCAAAGTGTTAACCACAGGGGGAGGCAGGATGAAGGGCACAACATTTTGATTATGCAATTGCTTTAAAAAATAAGTCATCTGGCAAGATGACTCAGTGGTTAAAGGTGCCTACTGTCAAGCCTGAAGACCCGAGTTAAAATCTTAGAACACAAGGAAAGCACCAACTCCTGCAAATTGCCCTCTTACCTCCACACAAGTGCCATGGCACACATATTCCCACACACAGACACATATACACAGTAAGAATATACATTTATTTTTAAGTGCTTCCTAGAACTGGAGAGATTGCTCAGTGGTTAGTGCCTGGAGCTCATGTAGAGGGCCTGGGTTCAACTCCCAGTCCTCTCAATCATCTGTAACTCCAAGTTCAGAGGATCTAATGTCTTCTTCTGGCTTCTGTGGGCAACAAACTCACACCTGATGCACATACACACATGCAGACAAAACACCCATACACAAAATAGAAAAGAATTAATTAAATCTTTTTTTTTTGCTGCAAACTGCATGAGGCTTTATTGTAATTTAACGAGCTAACCCCATGCTAGCTCGGGTCTTCTGTCCATCCACCATGGCGGTTGGCTACAAAAGACAGTTTGAACCAGCTGCCAAGAGATCTTGTAGGGCAGCGTAAGGGGAGTGTCTAGGGGTACACACAGGCTCACAATTGGTGTGCCTCCAGGCTTGGAGGGCTTGCCCTGTGTTGATTGGTCAACTGGTTGCTATGGCCCATAGGCCCTCCCAGGGTGGTTGCTATGCTCTGTGCGTCATTGCTGTGCGCTTGTCTGTAAAGTACACCCAGGATCGTAAAGCATAGTGCCACCAGCTAACTTCTGATTGGTTCCTTACCACGAGGCAGGCACCTAACCTCTAGTGACTAAGACAAGGTCAGAAAAGCAGGTGTCCAGCTGTTATGACTGCTGAAATGGGGAGCTGGTCCCTTCATTCCCCCATTTTCTTTTTTGGAAATTCCAATCATGGAATTGCTGTCTCTCTAGCGCCCCCATCAGGGAGTGAGAGATCTTGGCATCCCCATGCAAGGGACTCCCTTCTGACTTAGCGTTTTAACCAGGGAAAATGGGTGGCGAATTCTTTCCCAAGCTGCTTTCTGCTGACTTTGGAACGAAGTTAGGGACCCCAGAAGGGTGAAATGCTAGTCAAAAGCAAAAAAGGAATTTAGGCAATGGGGAATCCATCAGGGGCTGTTGGCAGACTCTGGTGCAGAGACAGGGGGGGTCCACCTCAGCTGGACTGGTTCACATCAACAGCAAGTCCAGGGCTCGCAGTCTACTTAGAACAGCCTGTAGTCAGCAACTGATACTCAGAATCTTTAAGAGAATAAAGACAAGTGCTTCTTCCAAAGCAAAGGAAACACGCATTCATCTTCCCCCACCCTCTCTCTATCTCCTCTTTCCCTAAGTTGTAAGGCTTATTAAACTTTTCCTTATCCAGGTCTTTCTAATACATAAATAGAGATATCATGGTAGAAGGTGGAAGCACTTGGGGATGGATGGAAAACAGAAATGTTTCTTCCTTAAAATGAATCAAAATCCAGAGAAGGGTATGACAGCTGAAACCTCTTGTGCCAGGATTTGGGAGACCAAGATAGGATTCCCAGGAGTTCTAGACTAGACTAGGCAAGAGAGTGAGACATAAAAATCCATGGAGCTACCCAGGAAGCTAAGGCAGGAAAATCACAAATTTGAGGCCAGCAAGGCAACTTAACAAGATCATATTTCAAAATAATTTTAAATTAATTGCTTGTTTTTATATTTATTGTTTTCTTGAGATAGGATCTTACTATGTATCCCTGACAGGCCTGGAAATCAATATATAAGATTAAGCTGGTCTTCAATTTGCAGTGACCCTCTTGCCACTAACTTCCAAATACTAGGATTATAAATAGGCATGAGTCACCATATCCAGCTAAAAAAAAAATTGTAATAGTTTTTAAGGGTTAGCAAGATGGCTCAGTCATTAAAAGCACCTACCAACAAGACTGACAACACAGGTTCAATTCCCCAGGATCTATATGGTAGAAAGAAAGAATTGACTCCCCAAAGCTGTCCTCTGACCACACATGTGCTGGGGCATGCACACTCTCTCTCTCTCTCTCTCTCTCTCTCTCTCTCTCTCTCTCCCTCTCAATAAATAAATAAATAAATAAATAAATAAATGCGATCTTTAATATTTTAATTTGAGACAAGACCTCATATGATCCCAGACTGCTCAAAAATGTAGCCAGGAACAACTCTAAACTCCTGGTCTTCCTGCCTGCAATTTTCATGTACTGGAGTTACAAATGTGTGTCACCAAGCTTGGCTTTTACAATAAAAATATTTAAAACAAAGGAAATGTAAGTCGGTTGTAGGGTACTTGTCTAATAAAAATATTTAAAACAAAGGAAATGTAAGTCGGTTGTAGGGTACTTGTCTAGCATATGCAAAGCCTTGAGTTACACAAGGAAAAGAAGAAAAATTTACACTCCATTTAAAAATCATTGTTTATGGAGGTAGAAAGATGGCTTGGTGGTTAAGAACACTTGTTGCTTTTGCAGAGGATCAAGGTTTGATTCTTAAGTACCTACATGGTGGCTCACAACCATCTGTTACTCCCGTTCCAAGGAATCCAAAGCATTCTTCTGACCTTTGTGAGTACCTGGCACACATATGGTGCACATACACATGTGCAGGCAAAAATCTCATATGCCTAAAATAAATAAATCTAAAAAAATTAAAAATTGTTGTTACACTTAAAAAATATTCCAAATATTCAGGAAAAAAATCAGTGTTCTAGGATGGTCTGTAACATTCATCCTATAATTTAGCTATACTGCATTTTGAGACATATACATGTCTTACCTAGGGTTACTAACTGTGGTGATGAAACACCATGGGCAAAAAGCAAATTTGGGAGGAAAGGGTTTATTTGGCTTACACTTTCACAAACACTGCTCATCACCAAGTCAGGACAAGAACTCAAGCAGGACAGGAACCTGGAGACAGAAGCTAATGCAGAGGCCATGGAGGGGTAGTGTTTACTGGCTTGCTCAGCCTGCTTTCTTATGGAACCCAAGACCACCAGCCCATGGGATGGCATCACTCACAATGGCTGCTCTCTTCTCCATCAATCACTAAATAAGAAAATGTCCTTTAGCTGGACCTTACAAAATCATTGAGGTTCCCTCCTCTATGATGACTCTAGCTTGTATCAACTTGACATAAAACTATCCAGTACAATACACATAAAGCCCTGCTCCCTAAGCCAATGTATATAGTTGTATATATGGATATAAAATCTCTTATTTCTGACTATTATTTTCCTATCCTTTTTAATTGACTTGTGTGTGCCTGTGAGCATGGTTGCCACCTCAAATGCTTTGTGAACAAAGTGGCTAATAAAATTATTTTTAAAATTTTTAATTGACTTGTCATGGTTACACATGCTTATAAGGTATAGTACAATACTTTGATAAATGTATACAAATATATATTTGTAGTGATCAAATCAGAAAAATTAGCAGTTTTACTTACTTAAAATTTTTCATATATCTTTATGTTTGAAGCCTTCTAATTGTTCATAAAATATGTAAGAAGGGATGTGGTTCACTACATTAGAGCACTTACCTGGCACACACAAGGCCTTGGACCCAATACTCAGTGTCTTAATTAATCATTAGTTGTTGTAAAGTACAGTTACAGTAAGGTTGCTGTTTGCACTGGAGAATCTCTTCCTCCTCTCTATTTGCTGTCCATTGCATAACTTCTCTCTGTCACCCCCTTTCCCTTCTCAGCTTCTAGTGACCTTTACTCTACTCTTTAACTCTTTGCAATCAGATGAAAGATAAATTTTAAGAGTACAAGCCTGTATTCTGGTCTTATTTCTACTTCACCAACAGAATGGGTAAATAGAGAGGGAGTTCAAGGGGTACCTATTTCTACTGCTGAGCTTGGCAACTAAAACACTTTTGTTGTGTATGCTTTTTCAGTGGGAGAGATCTAATATATAACAAAGGACTGAAAGATAGGAAAGAAACTGAAACTCAAAATTATTATGTGTTGATTGAAAAATAACAATAGACAATAATGAAAATACTGATACAACTACAAGAGAGACTGGGCAATTTTATTCCTAGATCTCTGTTATTTTGATATGAAACACACCATACCTTTGATTGTTCTAATTCAGTGCTCAAGGACAAACTGCTTTGTGTTTCTATATGATGAAGCTATTTAAAACCATTTCATAATCTTTTGCAAGAAATTATATATCTTACCTGTTGTCTGCCTCTGACCTTTCTATTGACAGCATTAGAGAACAATGATTTTAGCTATACTATGTACTTGAGGCTAAGAAATAGACTTCTTTAAAAAACAAACCAAACTTTTAAATATAAGCGGAAAAATGCTTCCAACATGTCATAAGAGATAGAAATAGGGCTGTACTTAAACCACAAAATGAAGACAGCTGTTTCCACTTTTTTTCCGTGAAAGAAAATAGGGGAAGATTTCATAATTTCCAGGAATACAGGACAAAAAATGAAATATAAGAATGAAATTCAGTGGTACAGAAATTAATACTACACATTACCTGATCTGTACTGATGATAAGCTGGGACCAGCTGTTCCATTCTGGACACTTGTCTCTGTCTTCAAAGGTGACATGATTAGAATTCCAGCAACAGTGTTCATGGTTAAACCAGAATCCCCCTGTGCATATCCCTTCTTTTAAGTCTGTCATCCAGTGAGCAGAGATGTCTATCAGGCCTGCTAAGGAACCTGATTTAGTGGGGAAGAAAGGGAAAGCCAAAGTTAAATTCCACTTCTGAAATTCTATCTTTGGTAATTGGAACAATCTTTATCAGCTAAAGTGACAGGAAAGGAATTGAAATGACAGGTAAATAAATACTTTCCTATTCCTAGTCTATATTTCCTATTCCTATTCTTTCTGATTGTTGACTTACTTGATATTTCTCTACATTAACACTGGCGGCAGGCTGAAGAAATGCTTAAGAGCACATACCACTCTTGCAGAGGATCTGAGTTCATTTCCCAGCACTCACATTGGATAGCTCACAACAGTTATAATTCTAGTTCTAGAAATGCTTCTGACCTCCAAGGGCATCTGCACTCTCACGTGGACACAAACACATACACAGGATTAAAACTAAACATAAACACTATTATATATGAAATGCACGGAAAGAACTAAGGAGAAAGCAAAACATTTGGGGGAGAGGGAGGAGTTTGGTTGTGAAATTCACTTGACAATTAAGGGACTGCTTTGGTATGGTTTAGGGATGACAATCTATAAAGGAAATAATTTGTTTAAGATTATGTGACTTGCTAGGCATGATACCATAGGCCTTTAATCCCAGGATAGCTCAAGGCCAGCCTGGTCTACTTAGCATGCCAGCTAGGAATACATAATGAGACTCCATCTCAAACCAAAAACAACAGCTAAAACAAAAAGATTATGTGACTCTCCCTATATACAATCAGGCTGAGTGAATACAAATCGCGCACAGTGAAGAATCTTCCATAATATTTATTTGAAAAGGCTCTGGAGAAAAGCTGATGAAGATTATGGATGATGGGCTAAGCCTGGACACTAGGGTTTTCACCATGGATAGGAAGAACTTGCACAGTGGCAGGAAGATATCGTACCCTAAGGACATTGAATTGTTAGCAGCACAGACTGTTGTGTGCAAAGAAGGTTGGATGGAACTAGAGAAACTTTGGGTGCCTACTGAACCTAGCGTATAAACACACTACAGTGATCTCAGCAAAAAGGAATAACCATATATAGAACATCTACTAAGGAAAATGATGAGAAAAAAGCAAAATAAAAATAGGAACCATAAGTACTATAACTGGCAAACAGATAAGCACTAAGATAGCTAAAGTACTTTACTTCTGGCTGTCATGTGTCAGTTAAATGAAGAAACTCTGGACAAGAGAAATTAAATGGCCCAGAATTATAATGCCTCAGAGAAATGGTAAAGGTGTTATAGAACAGCCCCAGAATTCCCAGACTGTTCCATTCAGACACACGGTTTCTGTTATGGGTCTCCAATGTTTAAAAACAAAATACCTCATGTGTATGTAAGGTAAAAACAGCCAGTGACCACCTAAAGACAAGAAACACATTAAAGAGTTGAGGATATTGTGCCTACATTTGGTTGGGTAAGAAAGGCCATGTTATGTGTATGTTTTGGTAAGTGCTGAAAGTGTTACCACCTGCCTGAATGCCCTAGTCAAATCCAGCATTTTCTGACAGCTATTTTTGGCTACTCCAGCCCCCCTCTGTTCATTGCATTTACTGCCTGGGTTCACAAAATTAACAAGGCCTTATAGTTCCATACTTTGTTCTATGCTCTGGTTGTTTCATATGTGTATTTTGTATTTATACAGCTATCTTCAGTCCTGTCGTCCTTTCTACTTCTATATCTCCCCCTTCTCACAAATGCTGCTTTCTTCTCTGGCTAAAGTTTTATTAAGCTTCCCTATCCTAAAAAAATAGGGTGTTGTCCCTTATCCTTGTCTGCCATTTTTCAAGGGTTTGTTCATTTCTTTCCAATAACTATCAAAACTTGAAATCTGGCTCTCAACATATATCTGAAGAACACTAACATATTCCTAATCACTGGATTTATGACCTTTCTTCCTCTATATTCCTTCTCTTGCTTTTGCTATAATATTTGCAATTATAGACTGCCCAATCTATTATTAATCAGCTCCAACCTGTATTCTCCCTCAGGGAAGAACCAGAAGGCACATCTCAATACCCTCAACCACGGGGCTGGCAAACTAAAACACGAGGGCCAAATTTTGCTCACATGTTATATCTGTCAGTAAAGACATCCCAGTGGCAGGTAAACAGCAGCTTTTGTGCCACAGCAACAAAGTGGAGTGGATTTTACAGACATCATTTAACTCACAACTCTTAAAATATTTAGGATCATCTGAGCGCTTTAATGAAAAAGAAAAGACTTCCGACCTTTTAGTATAGACAATTCTTTTAAAAATTTTATTTTATGTATTATTTGTGTATGCTCACACACATTAAGTGATGTAGACTCACACATGGAGGTCAGAGGACAACTTTTGGAAGTTGGCTCCATCCTTCCACCAGGGGTTGCAAGGATCAAACTAAGGTTGACAGGCTTGCAGAGCAAGGATGCGCACACGCACACACACAAACTAAGCTATCTTGCCAGCTCCATTCCCAGGCAATTTTTAGAAACTCAGGATAGATGAACCATTTTATATTTGAGATAGCCATTTTCTACTCCATGGCTCATGTCAAGAGCAGCATCAACAACTAGGCACCATGCCAGATGCCTTATCTCATGTATTCCTCAAAGAAAGTATTTAATATAGCTACCTACACTATCTCTGTTTTTACACATCAATACACTAAAGTCTCCCAGAGTTAAGAAACTCCATTATCAGTAATGGAGCAGGGATTTAAATCTTGACTTCCTGAAAATAGAGTCTGTGCTAAAAAGTGAAATCTTACACCATCTTCTCCAGTTTTTCTACTTAACTTCTAACTAGTTCAAGATTCCTAGGTACTGTCTTTAATGCTATAAGGGTACATTTCTTGGACTCCCTGCCTGGTATCCCTGGCTTTCTGCTTCCTACATAAGAGGGTTAAGTTTGCATTGGAATTGGTGTAAGCTGTATCTGCAGAGCAAGTACACATTTATACACCGTGTAAAAGTTGAGCACCCCTAACCTGAAATGCAATATGGTCCTTAACTTTTTAAGCATTGACATGAAGCTGCATG